CACGCCCATGCACTAGCAGTGAACCTACTAGACAATAGCGAAATTGTGCACTGGCTGGTAAGATACACCGTCTTAACTCTAGACAGATGGACCCGAGTGAAACCACCAAAAAAGGCGTGGCAATGATAACTAATTGAACACTGAACGAGTTACGTCACTGGGCATAACTCATTTGCGATCCAGTACTTATTGAACACATACATTTATTGCAGATTATGTATACTAAATGTGAAAAACAAATTTCAACAAGTTACTGTTGATCTTTACAGCTCATTCTAATTATATTAGATATTTAATTTTAAATCTTAAAGCAATTATGTTCTTATATGGTGCTATAATAACAATCTATATTCAAGCAACAAACTAAATTAAACTAACTGCATGAAGCTGAGGCCTTCTTGAGAAGCTGCCAGTTGTGTACCCACAAATTCCCAGGATTTTATGGAACCCGAAGATTTATTACCGTGTCTACAAGAGCCCTCCATTGGTCCCTATCCTCAGCCAAATCAACCCAATCCACACAATTCCAGCCTATCTTTCTAAGATCCATTTTAATATTGTTCACCCACCTACGTCTTGGCCTTCCCAGTGGTCTCTTTCCTTCTGGCTTTCCAACGAATATTCTATATGCATTCCTCCTCTCCTCAATTCGTGTTACATGTCTTGTCCATCTCATCCTCTTTGACTTATCATTCTAATTTTGCTTGGAGAAGAGTACAAGTTATGAAGCTCCTCATTATGCAGTTTTCTCCAACCTCCTGTAACTTCATCTCTCTTCGGTCCAAATATTCTCCCCAAAACCCTCAGTCTATGTTCCTCCTTTAATGTCAGATACCAAGTTTCACGCCCATACAGAACCACTGGCAAAATTTTAATTTTCTATATTCTAATTTTTATGTTTTTATACATGGATAAGAAGCGAAAGTAGACGGCGTTAAACCTCGGCCTCCATGAGGTATGATAGTGGATATAAATGCGGGAGATAGCAGAGGAAGTTAATTGTGCGAACATTTGTGTATATAATGAGGCCTCTCCAATGTATCTCAACTGCTGTTGAACTAATCCTTTATCAATTGGAACCTCAGCCCTCATAGCTCTGTGTACAGCGTTATGTGTGAGTAATTATGTGCAGAAGTTCCGTAAACTACTTGGCCCGTGGCATGTAACCGGCACAAGTGTGCTGCCAGGTACTCTAGTGCCTCAAGGCTGCAGGGCGGCTTCTTCTGACGAGCCACTGGAGTATCAAGATCTCTCAAGGAGGAGGAGCACGTTATTACTTACAGGAAGGTCATAGAAGTCCGCCTCAGACACAAATTACCCAATTACATCTTCGGTAATTGGCCCCATGCCTTGGGGTAGATCACAGACAAACAAATCATTGTCTCTCTATAGAGGAAAATAAATCCTTGAATAAACCCAACAACCTATGGGTTCTGTGAAGACAAAGGGATGATTATCCCGAGGATGAAATTAATTTGACGAGCTTCAGAGGGGGGATAATTTCCTTCCCCTACCAGAAATCGAAGCCCGATTATTCTGAAGTCCAGCAAGTAGCCTATTCGCCATGCAGACTGAACTGTTCAGCGCCTTATACAGGAAGAACCGACACGTTTTACGGAACGTTACTATTTGAATCAGTACCAAAAGAATCTTTCAGGGTACAGCGCATGTCCCCAGGCAATAAGCAGACGCTGTTTCGTGCCTCTTATACGCCTACTATGAGGAAATCATGATTTTGCTTGCGGGTTTATCATTTCGTATTTTATGAGAAGTGATGCGTTTACGTGTTACAAGAACATCATGGACTGTCCTTCCATCTTGACTTTTTTTTTTGTGACTCCTGAAACTTATACCTCAGAGATCAACAATTCTGTAATAAAGTGCTACGGTTCATACAGATACGGGGGCTAGGGATGTGACGTGTCTGTCTTTCACAGGACAGGGGAGCTATTGTTACCTGCTGATCTCACTTCGACAAGTGCCTACCCGTGAATACAATTTCGTCATGGTCCCATTCAAACCAAATATAGGCAGAGCAGGCGACATGGCACTGTCCTTAGAGAGTTGAAAACTTTCGCTTATAACTTGATATAGGTCTTCAACATAACCACGGACATAGATAGACGGACTCCAAAAAGTGATATTTCTTTTTACTATGTAAAGAAACGTTCATACAGGAAGAAATATATGACGCACCGTCACAGATCTTTAGGGATTCAATATTTCCAGGGACTCCCTGAGAATAGTTCTGGAGTGACTAAGGTAAAGCACGAAGTGCCTTAGAGTGTTGTGTTCCCTGAACTCACAAGTAAGTGCCCACATCACCGATTCCAATGTTTTCCTTTAAAATTCGGCCATTTTAATACACGGCCTATAAAAATTTTGAGATGCAAAACGCAATGTAGCCTGAATTAAATTTCGTACTTGACGTAGAGATACTGGCGACATCTGTCGCCTTACTGCAGAGTTTTCTTTAAGAAGAGGATTTCCAGTCTTCGTGTTTCGTAAAGGATTTTCATGTCATTTTGGCAAAGCTTCAGAGCAGCGTGGCGCGACACTAGGGGTTTATTTCTGACACGGCCGTAAAAATCTTTAAAAAGTAAAGTCTTACATCCAGGGCATGACTTTCTGGGCCACATCACCGTCAAGACGCAACACAAGTTGGGCGTGCACAGAATGGCGAAGGCGTGACAACCACAGGATGTCTCTCGCGACTACGGTTCTAGGATGATAAAACAACATTACAACGGTCGTGGGGTGGTTGAAGACTGTTGTTTCGGTACAAAACTATATACAGATAAAAGATGGAGCCGGGTAGCCGAGTATGAACTCAAGAGAAGAGAGTAATACAAAGGTGAAATTAGCTTCCGGCTTGTTATCGGAAAGAATCACTCGTGGTCCATGGAAATATTATTTTTTCTTCTTGCACCTTGTCTGTCGTTCAGTGTTCGTTTACTTCCAATAACATCTGGTCAACACAGCCAATATTTTGTGTCTCAATTATTTTATTTTTGAAGATATCTTTTGTTTCGTATTTTATTATCAGCACCAAACCAAGAATCACCTATCGAAACACAAATTATCTCATGTGACGATCTGATAAGTAGATAAAATAAATCATTAAAAGTATTTTGTGTTTTTACACTGGGCTAGCGGGTTCGAATCCTACTCGAAAAATGGAGTTTATCCTATGTTTGTGCTGTCCTGTGTAGATACTGGCCTTGCGACAAGGTTGATCGCCCTTCCAAAGAGTCCTAAAGGCTGCCTATAAGAATCATAATTTCAAAATTATTTCTGAATGGGACCAAGCCACAGAGTCTAATTAGTAGAAGGAGAAGAAGACAAATTTTATTTAAATACTGTCCATATTATAATCATATTGATTGGATTTTACGTATTTTGCAACATACCACAATATTTTTAAAACAAAGTTTTGGTAAAGAATTGCTTATTTTTCCGTGGCATGGGAAAAAGCACCCTGCCTACGAAATGTATACATGTGGTTCTCATTCTCATGAACATCGCCCATACTTGAGATAAGTTAAATGTGAACGAAGAGTACAGTATCTCAGCACCTGAATTATACTGTGACATGACGCCTGAAAGCTGGAATAGTGGAGCCACAGTAGACATTCATTTCTAGGCAACGTCTCGGGAAACATATTCCCGGGGAAATTAACACGCACGCAACAAAAGAACTACAATTTCTACACAACGGCGAGGTAAACGAAACTCTGTATCAACAGAGGAATTGTTAGGAAAAGGTGTTTTCTGTTGGGACTTCCCCGAGGCTATATAAAAGTAAAAAAAAAAAAAGTAAAGCTATCCCTGTACTAGGCAGTGAAGGCCCATAGGGTTGTGAGACGTTGAGAGTCCCACATTATCTAGACAATCGGCTCAAAGTGAGGTTGTCAGTCTTACGCACTGGCCGTCCTTTACACCACCCCTCCCGTAGATTCCAGGTACTCATTTGTGCTAGAGGCTGAGTCGACCCCAGGGACATAGTGCGGCTGGAAATATTAGGTCAATTTAAAAATCCAATGGCCTCATCGGGAATCGAACCCGCGACCTTCCGGCTTGTAACATAGTGCCTCAACCAACTACGCTACCGCGAACTCCCCCCCCCACCAAATTCTTCGATATATGTAACAAAATTCACCTTGAGTTTGCGATTTCTGTGTCGTTTCGCCATCAGAATTCTATGATTGTCCTTTGCCTGGTATCGGAGCTTGCTAGATATCACTTTTATAAAATTACTGCGTGACCATGAAGTTCTTAATTATATGCAAGTTAGTGAATTCGAGGAAGATGGTAAAGTTCTCTTTTGTCAGTCATGTGGAAAATCAATTGTCACACAACATCGTTCTCAAGGCACAAAATATTTGAGTGGAACAAGCACACTGCAGCCGTTGTCGACTTAAGCCTCTAACTGATGAGTCTTCCGCTACAAGTTCCCTTCCCTGTGCAAAGAACTTGTGTCTGCTGACGTAACATCCCCCCCCTCCTTCTCAAAACAAAGAAGTTACACATTTCTTTCTGAATATCATAAATACTATATTGTAGGGTCATGACGTATAGTTGTATGTAATATAACACATGTAACAGCTACTACATAATTAGGCTCCTTTTTGCCATTATCAGGTAAACGCACCATTCCTTGCAGTTTCCCTTTCCTCTGGTCTGCTTTACCCCCCCCCCCTACATTGGTCAAGGTTTACAGAATGGGGGTGTTTATATTCGGATTTGTTTTATATAATGCCTCTCTTGTATAATGCGAAATAAATGTCATATTATTAAAATTGAATTTAAAATATTAATGTATTTAATTTTAAAATATTAAAACGCTAAAGGTTTGAATTATGAAGATGTCTACTGTGTGCTTTGTGTTGCTCTTGATGATGTGGAACTTGTTCTCTGTACTACTATTGTACTCTTGAGTGTTTCTGTATGTGTACTCTGTGTGCATTGAGAGAGGGACTTACATGTATGCTTTTTCTTACCTGGTGCCGTTCTTCTAGTTGTGTAGTCCGCAGTTCTGTGAGTATGCAATGTTTTACTTCACGTGTCCTTTCTCGGGGCTCCATCTGAAATAAGAATTTATTGCTGGTTATATTTAGTAATAAAAACCTTAAAGAATTCTAGAAGTTATCAGAGAGACCATATCGGAGGAAAATGGCGAACACTAGAATTATAATATTGCAACGTGTTAGGAGTAGGTACTTCATGGTAAAGCAATGACAGCGAGCCGTTGGGTAAACAACGAAAGCGTCTCCCCGGAGATGAACAACAGAGAGCTTGTTGCGCTCGTTGCGTAACAACGGACTGTCTGAACAGCGGCAACGGAACCGTGAGGAATGTCAGGTATCCGGTCCACATAACCCCTGTATAGGAGAGCTAGTTAGACCCTGCGAGTCGTAGGAGGCGACGAAAAGGGAAGTCTCAAATCTGAGACAGTAAATATGGTCGCGAGCCCCAATGAACTCGGACCAGAGAAAGATTGCACTGGCAAGGGTCAGCAGCATATACAAAAGGCAGACCCGTCCTCTCGTCAGAGAGGGCGTCCCACAAAAACAAGACCGTGAATTTGAAACAGTAATAAATATTTGGTCATGATGGGGCTCGACACCAAGACTTACTGACTGACCGTCAGTCGCAATGTGACTTGGACTTGGACTTGGACTTGGACCCGAACGAACGAGACAGTTGGGATGTCGCATTGAAGTAGAGGCAGTAGTTGTGATACTGCAAGTGGTAATAATTGTAAGGTGTGTAAGTGTGAGTGTCCAATGATAATTCGCTAAATCGAGACCCACGTGAAGTTATCTGTCGCGTGGCATACCCGACACGTGACAATATACTATAAAGGAGCTGGCTACTGGCTGGACGACTGAGGGCTCATAGTTCGAGTTCCGGTGGGATCAAGAATTTTCTTTCCTCCTCAAGGAAATAGCGGCCCCGGTCTAGAAAACTGAAATTAACGGTCATGAGGAATCGTTGTGCTGACCACGCGACACCCTGTATCCGCAAGAATTGGTAACAAACGTCGGTCGCTCCGTCGGTATATTATACGAATCTTATACGAGAAAAACATCAGTTCCTTTATCTTTTATACGACGCTAGGACTACTTGGAGGGGGATCAGCCCGTCTCAAGGCACACACAGGACAGGGCACAAACAAAGAATAAACATACACAGACATCAATGTCTCAAGTGGGATTTGAACCCACGACCATAATGTTTGAGCGGGTAAAGAGATTTCATGCCTTAGACGGCGAGGACACTGTGATCGGCAGGCCTATCAACTACAGAGGTCATTTATCATCGGATAAGTTGCAGCGAAAAGGATGGAGGAAGAAGTTTATCACTTTCAGTGGAATATCTGAGGAACTGAATTTAATGCACATATGGATACTTTGTTCACTGACTGGCATTCGAACCGGCGGCATCGAGAATGTGAAATTGGAATGTTAAATGAACGTACTGTGTTGTTCCGAACTTTCGCTTTACAAGAGGCCAGCAGAGTGCGAAACTTTAGACTTATTTGTAGTCTCATTGCTGCGCTGAAGAGAGAGGAAGTGCGTTGACAAAGAGCAGCACTGTGCAATGCAATGAATGGGACTGAAACAATGCTCCTTATCTTGTGTACCCAAGACTACTCCTGCCGTGTACACAGCAAGCATTCTCTCTCATTACACTTTATATAAAGCAAGTAACGGTCGCTGAACACACAGGGGCCAATATCATTGCGAAGGCAAATATTTCCGGAGAGAAATATTGATATAACATTCAGACTGTAAGACATCACTAATGTTAAGAGGCTTACAGGTGCAAAGAACGCTATTCAACAAGATTGGGGTAATATAATTATGAAAAATAGATGCTTAATTTCGTTTTGATATGCAGAGTTTAATTCCGGATGTAAACAAAGTTCAACCGCATTTTGCATTGAATTGGCCTCCTTTGTCAGAAAACAAACTCATCCTGTACAAAGCAGTACTCAAACCCATGCGGACGTATGAAATTTATCTATGGGGAACAGCCTCAAATTCCAACATCGAAATCTTCCAGCCCTTCCAATCCAAGACTCTCCGATCCATTCTGAATGCTCCTTGGTGCATAAACAGCCACAGGATCCATGAAGATCTCCAAATAAACACAGTGTTCAGTAAAATGAAAGAAATGGAATACCAAATACTTAAGAAGGCACATTTTTCATTTCGTAATTATTTCTCGTATGTTTGTGAATCGTGAGAAACTTATGTTTATTACTGAAAGAAACATGTAATGTAATTAAGAAAATATTATCATATGAAACTTCTAATAGTTTGAATACACGTTAATAATCGTATGTCTTGCATAAAAAGGAAAAGGGCAATTTCAAGAAATGTTGCATGTTAAAATTTTGTGATCACCATACTTGTAGTTACTATAGGATTCTGACGATGGTGTATAACACACTGATATATATTGGGTTTTTGGATTTTATCCATCGTCCTGGTTTTTAAGATAAATAATAAAAACACGACGTTTCGGAAACTGGATCTGTTTCCGTCCTCAGGTGAAGGAAAACACCTATTCTGTTTGGTCCGTTAGAAAGAGCTAGCCTCAATCACTGGACCAGGACGATGGATAAAGTCCAAAAACTCATTATATCAGCATATTTGTGATCAGCAGGCAGTTTAATGCAGAACCTATTTCTTACGGGGTAAATCAAAAGAACGTTAACATCTGCTGTGCAGTGGAATCATCAACCGTTGCTAATAAAATCGTTCATGAAAGTGTTAAACACAAAGAGTTCATACTGACTGACTCGTAACGTCATGATCTCAACTTCGTAATAAACAGCTATGAAGTGAAATCATCTCTGTTAAAATTCACTTAATAGACTTTCGACGTAAACATAAGGACAATTATAAAGTGAATTCTGATGACGTCAATTGGAACATACCTGGCCCAGAACGGGGTAAACTACTGTGTTTATGACAGCAGGGTTAAGTTTATATGTTTCATGCTGGCAAAGAATCTCTTATCAAACTGAACAACTATGACAACGGGAATATCCTGAGTTCTGAGGAAATTTCGGTTAGTAAGATGAATAGCTACTGGCTGGAAGTCCAGGGGTCGATATTCTCTTCCACAGAACATTCATACTGGCCTCGAGGTAAATACAGTCTCATGTTAATAGCGTTTTGTGGCACCGTCTTTGCAGCACTTATATCAACAAACAAAATCGATACTGAGGTGACATCATTCGTTTATTTCACAAAGGCGTCGCTATATGTTTCGGCCCTTAGAGTCATCATTAGGCCAAACTATTGAAATGTGATCTGAGTGAGTGAATTGTATTTCCTATTGCGGATCCATATTATTGCAATATTTTACAATCTGTTTATCGAATACACGTTTTTGTTGAAAAGTAATCCAAAAAATACACAGTTTGCTTAAAACGAAGCTTCAGAATTAATATAAAAATTAAAATATATGGTTTGGATAAATATTAATACAATTCTAGTATTAAATTAAAATGAATCATTGCAATTAAACTTCGATTTTAAGATTTGATTCTAAATTGGCTTATGAACTAAAATTTGGGGGTGAGGGTTCTTCGGGTTTTGTTATGGTCGTTGTTACGTGGTAAGGCGTAGTTAAGTCTCCTGTTGACTAGATACTGGGGGTAAGGGGGCAGGAACATAATGCTGTACACTTACGTCCAGGTAGAGCGCAGATTAATAGCATATGGAGATGCACTGTATATTCCCTTCATGCTGTAGCGGGTGGGGTAATGGAGAGCTTCCCAGTGTACCTTCTAGGGGTCACAGCTGCTGACAGACCAGTATAACCGATGTTAATTAGCATTCAACACAATTTCTCCATCACGGTATCGTGGATTAGATTAACTGACAGATCTATAACAACAATGCACGGCCCAGTATTGTTTTGAATTACCGTATTTGCGCATGTATAGGCCGCGTGCGTGTATAGGCCGCAGCACAATTTTCAGACAGAAATTATAGAAAAAATAATTTTCTTGGAATATTATTTCAGGAGTAGAAATTATTCCGAAATTTGGCAACGTTTCATTTTTTTTTAAATTATAGAAAAAATAATTTTCTTGGAATATTATTTCAGGAGTAGAAATTATTCCGAAATTTGGCAACGTTTAATTTTTTTTTAAATGAAGTGTGATTTCGAATATTTCGAATATAAGCCGCACCCCAGTTTTCCCTTGAATTTTTGGCAAAAAATGTGCGGCCTATACATGCGTAAATACGGTACGTAGTCTCAACTTGTAGGCCTATTCTCATTCTCAGGTTATTTATACATTGTCACGTGTAGGGTGATACTCGTGACAAAAATAATGGGTTCCAACTAGGATGATTGGATTTATTAGAACTTCTGTGACACACCACATCTTAATTATATACAATACAGCGCTAGCGCCGATCTACACACTTTACAGTTCACCGTTGCATACGCACTATAGTTCTCAGTCTCCACTAGTTTCTCCGTTGTATTGCCTGTAAACATTTGTCGTCTCTACCCACAATTGTTAAGAACTTACTTTGTAATTGTCAGTATTTTGGGCGTGTCCTCTTAAACTGATTACTGAACCCTGTGATACACGGCACTGCGCGTTGCAGATGATGTCCCAGCCCACCGCAAACTTGTGTCGTGTTTCGGCTTGGGACACATGTGCTGCCTTCTCTTATTGAGAACAGAATTACCGTCAGGTATTGCAAACCGCAAGAGGGACACTGTGGGGCAATAGCTAAGCGAGAAAAACAGCAGCACAGTCCGGTAACTACAGCACGTTAATAGCGGAGCATAATGTTTCCAACTCATAATCTGCAAATGAAAGTAATATTAAACAGCTCTAACGATAAAAAGCAAAAGCAAACGAAGTACAATTTCATTTCTCGTCACTAGACTGCAAAGAACTGCGTACACGTGTCCTCAGCAGACTGAAAACTTAACTGAATGCTGAGTTCTATCTACTGGGATACAAAACCGTGCATTTCGGCTTAACTCAACAGACGTTTCGGAGGCACGTATCGCCACCATCTTCAGGGCCGAATATTAAGAC